CACAAGCGACTCCACCGCATCGGTCCTCCCATGGAGAAGACCATGCTTGATGAGGCCCTCCATGCATGCATATGTAACATCAGAGCGGTACCATGAATCCTTGGAGAATGGAGGCGGCTGCGGAGAGGCAAAGGCGGCGGCAGAGAAGTGGAAGCTACAAATCTAGGGCTCCGGCGGTAGATTAGCGAGCATGGCAGATCGAACGGCGGCAGCGGAGAAATGGAGAAGGTAAGGCTGTGGTTTTGGTATGCGGAAACATGAAGGGGGAGGGTGATATTTATAGGATGGAGTGGGGCAAGAAGGCAAACCGTCCGCCTAGGTTCACGCGCCCGCTGTGCCGCATCATGTTATCTCCCTCTGAAGATCGTGTGCATGCTATCTCTGGCCATACCTTCAAAGGACACGGTGGATGATGGTTCGCCTGGTCACAGGTAAAGAGGGATACAAAGCTAAAAATGCTCCTACGGCCTATTCAGGACCAGGAGTTCAAAGGCTGGCCCACCAACGGGTTCACAGCCACTCCGGGGCACCCTTGGAGCAAGGGGCGGAAAGGGATGGGCCCACTAGTGGCTAGTACCCGTGCACACGAGCGCCACGGGCAGCACCACCACACGGCTCTACCGCACGTGGCCTCCCCTCCTCCGCCATCCTCCACCCCAACCGTCACCTCAGCTAGGTCCACGGTAGTCTATTGATGCTCTCTCGCTAGACAGTTAGGTTCTTAGGTGCTCTGGATCGCTGGGGCAGCCGCGTCACCATCGCGGATGGCGGCGCGCCGCCGCAGCTGGCTCCAGCGAGTCTCGCCGCCCCATGTTTCCACTTAGCGTAGCTGCTTGGGTCAGGGATGGTGACTGACCCGATAGGTGGGCCGGCGCATGTCCTAGTGGTTGGTGCGACCGTAGTATCATTGTCTGTCATGCCGCCATGCACTGAGCCGCCGGGGTGCACGCAGGTGAATTAGGGAAAGGACAAGAGGTTAAGTGAGAAGGTCTGAGAGAGCGAGAAATAGTGTTAGCACTTAGTTATGATTTTGGAGAAGTGCGATGTCTCTTTTACAAAAGCACCAACGCGCGCGGGAATCCACCGCCGTGGCCCGCCTCACGAGCGGGCCGGCCTTGCATGGGCCACGCCAGCGGGCCACTGCGCGCGCGCTATGTCACACGGGCCGCACGTGTGGGCCGCGTAGGAGATTTCGTTTTTCTTTTCCTAAGGAATGAGAAATAGTTTTTAATTTAATTTTTGGGCTGATCTTTGGTAAATCATATAAAATCGTGTAGGTGTCTAAAAATTATAAATCAAATTTTGTTTGGTTCCTAAAAAATGCTTTATCTGTTGATGTATTTAGTTCATATATATACATGTTAATACCAGGAGCTATTAAATCATTTGAGAATGCTTCATATTATTAAATTAATCATTGAAGGAAATTTTGTGGGAAATTGGTGATAGCTTTAGTCCTGGAATTTTTATAGTAGCTTCATGGTATTATTATGTCCTCACTGTAATTTTTGTAGCCTTAGAATAGACTAAGCATTAGGGTAGTTAAATGATCTTTGTTTCAATATATATTAAATCACTAGTAGAAATAATGATATATCCTTAATTTGCCAAGCTAAGGGTTTGTTAGTTGAATCCAACACTTTGCTTGATGAAGATGATAGTTAGCTTAGTATCTTAGTCATTAGAGCTAGCTTAGTAGCTTGGCATGCACATTCTTATTTTAAGAGTTGTTGTTGCCTAAATGCTAAATGGTTGCATCACCATCGCATGCATGTAGAGAATGAGCTGGTGGAGATAGTGACCATAGACGATGGCGAGTTCGAGGAGATCATCGAGGAGTATGAGGAGGAGATCCTCATGAGGGAGGAAGCCCTGGAGCCACCACCGACTGACTCAGTTGACACCGTGCCTACCCAAGGCAAGCCCCGGTGCATAACCCTTATTTTTTATAATCACTGAATATATATATGTCATGTGCATTTATGTTAAAGGAATTTTATGAAAACCACATGCATAGATATATTTGTCCTATGAGTCTTACTAGTACAGGTTTGAGTAGATGTTATGCTTAGGTTTTCGGTAGCGTGAGTAACCTGCTGTTACTCACAATAGGTGATCATTATAATTACTCTCATGATAAAAATGGTGAAAGGAAAATGGAGACCAGGCAGGAATATGGTATGGGTATTGGTGGGTGTAACGAGTTGTGTCCCGCGGCCACAGGGCTTAGCTTGGTTACACTGTTTTCCCTGTCCATGTCGATTAAGGACCGTCCGTTGCTGTGGATGGTAGTCGGGTCACAGACTTATTATCCTGAGCACATACTTGCTTATGGGAGCGAAAAGGCTCGTTACGCTCTTGTCATGGGTTTCGGCTCTTTCTGGACCGACTGATTGGAGGCGGGGAAAGGAGGAGATCTAAGCACCATATTGAGACTAGGTCTCAAGTGTGGGGGCTTGGAGTCCAAGTTTAGATGGGGACCTAGACCCCGTGATAGGAGTAGAATGGGTTGGTCTTGTTTGTGCCTGGGGGTACAAACAGGGCGTGTGTTTCGAGGTACCCAGCTAGGATACATTGGTTCGCGAATCGCCGTTTCCATGAGACGGTACGACTTGGCTATGGTTTAGCACTGCAGTAAGAACTGGAATATGAAAGATAGTAAATTAGTTCTGATTGCTCAACCCTTGCTTGAAAGTAGAACAATTGCTTACCTAGAATGGTTAGCTAATGAAGTAATCATGACTGCTAATTAAACTTAATCTTAAGGATGTACTTCTAGTAATATTTTTCGCAAACAAAAAGAAAATAGCAAACTTATATTGCCTATCATACTCCTTGGAGTCAGGAAACTATTCTTACTAGTCGGGTAAGTCTTGCGAGTACATTGTGTACTCAGGGTTTATTTTACCCCTGTTGCAGGTACAACTTGAGGAATAGCTCTTGTGTGGAGGATTCTTCTGGTGGGCACAGACGGATCCTTGTATCGGTTCCGCTAGATGTTTATTTTTATTCTGTTGTTTAATTATCGTACTCTGAACTCTGGTATTGTAATAAATAATTTCCAGAAACTCTTGTTGTATGAAATGGACTAAGTATTATAAACTCGTACTCATTATCGGATTCTGGAGGTAAAACATGGATTGATTCGAGTTCTCCCATGGGGTGTGCTCGATGGAACTTTCTGGTGTAGCTAACTTTCGGGGTGCTTAGTGTTTAGTGGAAGACGAGCGCCTCCGAAAGCGTGTTATTTCAGACGGTTCTGTCACACTTAATCTTCGAAAAATCGTATCGTTTTCATACAACCTCGGATGAATTTGATTTTATATGAAAATTTTAGCCCTCGATGAGATCTATAACTTTTTTAGTTTTGAGTTTTTTTCTTATTTTGAGATCATTAAAATTCTAAAAAATATAAATTTTAGCAGCATATTAATCATGTACTGAACTTGTCGCCTTAGAAAAATCATATCTTTCTTATACATAATCTTGGTTTCTTGTACACAATTCCATATACCTATAGGTTGATTTGTGGTGTGATATGGTGGATTTTGTTATTGTTGCGTTATGATGTGGTGGTTGGTGTTGGGTTTGTGCTAGTTCATGCTCGAATTCTAGGGACCGGTTCTCGGGGCATGTAACCGACCGATTAACAAGCAACCACGAGGGCTATATGGCTTTGGACTTGACAAATTAATTAGTTTCCTCTAATTTATGCTACGTTAGAACGGTTTAAGAGGCACAAGATGGGACTTCTATAGTGGAGTTGAAAGATACTGTATATTAGCATTTTAAGTGGCACAAGCTTGGAGGAGCTTTGTAAAGGTGTTGCAGTGAAACCCAGCCACACATCTCAAAATTCTGATATGGGGTTCGCTAGTGGCAAACGAGAATCACGTCTCGTGGTGAAACATAAACGAATTCAAATTTAAAAAATTAAACCAAAAAGTTTTAGATCTCTTCAAGTGCTATAACTTTAGTTTAGGTCATTTCTCCATCCGAGGTCATTTACAAAATTCTAAAAGATATTAATTTCAAAATCATTATCTCAAAATAGAATTTATAGACCCTAAATGATTTCAAATCATAAAGTCATCAACTACAAAGTTGCATATCTCTTCGAGTACTACAAAACTTTGTTTTAAGTCATTTCTCCATCCGAGATACTTTCATAAATTAAAAATATATACAAATTTCAAAATCTGGAAACTTTAAACAAAATTTTTGTGCACTAAATGATCTCAAATGAAAAAAATATTCAACCAACAAGTTACAGATCCTTTTGATAACTACAGATTTGGTTTAAGTCGTTTGTCCATCTGAGGTAATTTTAAAAACTGGAAATATCGAATTCAAATTGTCAAAAGTTAAAACAAACTTTTGAGCCTTAAATGATTTTAAATGGAAAAGTCATCAACTACGAAGTTACTTAGATCTCTTCGAGTACTATAACTTTAATATAAAGTTTGTATTGGTATGACTTCTTTCGTAAAAGTTACGAATTTTAGTATGCTCCTATTGTTTGAGGTGGGCCCAAGCCGAACCACCTTTAAGCACCTCTACCCAAAAAGGATGTTGCCTCTAAAAATCAGATCCATAGTGATACATAACTTTAGAGTTCAGACATCAAACTGAGAAAGACAAGGAAAGGATTGCAACAATCAAGATCCCACTGTGGCAATGTACATCTCTCCAATCAAGCACCTCAAAGAGAAGAGTGCTAGTGGGGATTCAAACTCTCAACTGAGCTGCAACCTCCAAAAGAAAAGCTAAATCTCTGGCTACGTACAAAACGGGCACTTAGTTCCGGGCTCGATTGATCGGCGCAAGTAGCTAGCAATAGCTTGGATGACCGATCACCTTTTCAATTCAAGGCCCAAGAAAGCAAGTGGTTTGGGAATGTTTGGTGAGGAGGAGAAGATATTTTGCTATGTACTCCATGTCTGCATCTCCACTTTTATGGCTCTAGGAAAATGCATGAACGGTCGACAATTGGCGGCGGGTCACGAGCTGCCACTGAGATCCCGGATCCTTGCCTGGCCGAGCATGGACCACATGACCTGCACGTCTTCGTAGGCGCACGCCATCACCTCCCCGTGGAGTTTGGCCCTCTCGGCGTCGACGTGCTGCGCCATCACTGCATGCATAAACAATGCAATCAGATTGAGTCGTCAGCTAGGAGTACCTGCTATATAGCTCCACCGGTCAATCGGAGCGACTAGTCCAACACAAGTCTGCAGAAAGAACTTGAAAGGAATGCTGTGCTTGAACAATCTTGTGACTGAAAACTGAACTGACCTGAGTTTGGTTGCTGCGTCTTCTTGCCGCCATCCTTCTGTGGACCGAAGATGGTGCAGGCTTTCCTGAAGGGCGTTGTAATGGTGCGCACCCAAGAACCCATATACGTAAACACACACACAGCACAGGAGGGGTCAAGCTCTGCCGAAACAGATCGAGAGAGAGAGAGAGAGAGAGAGATCTCTGTCTGGCGCGCGCTGCGGCTGGCCAGGCCAAATCAACAAGCTGATCTGTATGTAGCGGGTGTGTACGTTTATATGAAGGCACTGCTCCAGGAAGCAGGAAGGATGTTGGCAAGGGCAATGTGTTGAGAAAGAGGATAACGGACGATGGAGCTCCTAACTAGCAGTTCACAGCGCGCGACCAAATCATGGGCACTGCGTGGGCATCACGCGAGTATATATCGTGGCGAATGAAGGGGCGAGGAGATGGGAAGAAGGTGTGGGAGCTATATGCACACAACACAGCGGCATGACGATGAGAGGTGATTGGTACTGAGGGGAGGGGGTTGGGGAGGCAAGATCCGGGGGACAAGCGGCGTGCGCGGCCATGTTGAGCGCCGCGCAGTGGCTGCACGTGCTGCCCTTGCCCGGCATCGATCGATCCGAGAGCGAGAGAAGATGGCACAGCAGCATGCATGATTGGGCCGTTGGGCGCGCGGGCGGGAGCCGCCGGGACGATCGATGGACCACCACGCCACGGAGTTTTGTCCGCCGCCGCCCGACGCGCGCGCTGCGGGAGCCGATGGTTGGATCGATCGGTGGATCGCGCGCGCTTGTGCCCGTGCAGTGTACGTACGAAGCGATCGTACTTTTGTGGTGCACACCACACCGCGCTCAACTATCCAACAACCTAATCAGGAAGGGAAGAATGCCGCATGTGATGGGAGTATGCCATGTGTGTAGTATATAGGCATGTTGCGCTGGGCTCGAATTGAATCGGCTCCCATATGCTAGCTTAGCAGCTTGTCTAGCGCGCGCGTTCCAACAGAATAATTCATGGACGTGCCGCCATGCCTCGACAGTCGACACCGACCCCTTTTGGGCTGTGTGGTTGGTCGATCCCGTGCGTGTGCGCCTAGCTGCGCATGTCTCCAGCCAAATCCATCGCGCTCGCCGCTCGCGATATTTCTTTTATCTTTATTTCCTTTTCTTTCCACTTATTATTCCACAATGTCTAGGAAGGATTTTTTTTCCACGGATAAGGGGCGGAGCTACATGGTGGTCCGGGTGGTCCGCAGACCACCGGTGCATACGAGGCCCATAGATATAGGAAAATTCAGTCAGATCGGATACGTACGTCCGAGCGTCCGCGGCCTCCGCGAATACGTCCTGCGGCCGTTCTGCGCTCCTTCGTATTTCTCCGTGCTGCCGCTATGCGCCCCTTCGTATCTCCTTAATGAGTTGTGCTTCATAGAATTCGATATACCAAACGACACAGCGGCGGCGGCGGGTCGGCGGCAGGCGCCGGACGACGAGCAGCCGCACACGTGAGTCATCTGCAGGTATACGTCTCAACATCTTCATCCAATTAGCCTGCTCGTTTAGTCATGTTTTCTTTTTTTCTCTTCCAATCTCTCCTTAGAGCTAGAGAATAAGTAAATTAGCCCTAACTCGAGCAGAACGCATCAGCAATTGCTGGTGGCTACCGGGCGGTGATCAACGACACCGATCCATCCACCATTAGACACGTTCAAAAGCCGCAAGCCACAAGATACACAAAACTTTATTTTATTTTGTGTCATTAGATTATATTATTGTACGGTCGCATTGGACTATTTAATTTTAATTGTAGGATAAGATTTTTTTATGTAAAATTGATTATTGGAATGGTAAATTAAAACAATATTTTTTATTCTCTTACAGACTTTTATCAAGAAATATGAAAAGGTGTGGCGATACTGCCTCTCTTTTTCAAAAATATGCATCAAAGAATATATTCTGCAATGACCTTTATCAAGAATAAGTTGAAAAACTCTGTATGCCTTTTTTTTCTTTAATTGTGTTTTGTATAATTCATATACTTATGTACCGACATGTTAAATTTATTTAACAAAATTTTTGACAATGGACCACCATAGCTACAAATCCTGGCTACGCCACTGCCACGGATCGTGTATATATACTGCTTATTACATATATACATTCTCACCGGAAGTTTATTTACTAAACAGTAAACACAATGTGGTTTGTCCATCCACACGCATTTCCTCAGCTAGCTAGTACATTATCCTACCCTGATGAGTTAGACATGACAAGTTACCAGTGCAATTCATACGATGAAGCCATGAAGGTTCTTTCTTTAATTTGTACTTGCATTGTCATGTCATACAAATCTCTCCAATGTGAACTCTTCTATCACGTACACATGTGCCCATCGAGGATCACAACTACCTCCTAGTTTTACCTCTCCCCAAATCTGCTATTTTTCTTTTGCCCATGTTCTGTTCCCAAATGCCTCCCTTGGGATTAATAAAATATTACATGTGCGGTAACAACCAAATGCTTCCCTTTGTGCGTAGCACGTACTGCTATTGCCACAGCATAACGTTTCATTATTATTGTCGTAGGCAATAATTTGGTCAATAGATGACATTGGGATTAAGAGCAAGCTGGGCTGCCAATAACGCCCACATATATATTGTGTGGTCGTTTGGCAGGGCTCCTTGGAGCATATTGTCCATGGACCATGGGAATCACTCCTCAGCCAAATAGTAAAATTTTGTCTAAACTCTAGTGGAGAGTAGATTAGAATCACTTCTCCATTTACGTTGAGAATTGGGAGTAAAAAAACTGCTCCAAGCTCACTAGTCCCGATTCAATCCCCACTAGAATCAATTCTCATATGCTCCTAACGACCCTGCTTCTTCATCATAATCAACTAGAAACAATCCATCATGAATCCAGGGGCTAGAACTAAGAATGAGAAAAGTGAAGCTCTGCCAAACAAACCTTATGTATTCTACTCTCCTGTAGACCATAATAACAAACTAAAACTACCAATTCTCAACGGTTTCCATGGTTTATCCGATTTCCTTATCCCTCCCAACAAGAACCCTTTCCATCACGTGTTATGTTCACTAGAATCAAAAAGATTCGGGGACACGCCGTACAAAGGGGCAAGCTGACACAATAATATTGCCTGCCTGGCCCTTACCCCTAGACTAAGGGGCTGTTTGGTCACCTACTAAAATTTAGTCCCCGTCGTATCAAATGTTTGGACACATGGATGGATTATTAAACGTAGACTAATTACAAAACTAATTACATAGATTGATACTAATTTACGAGACGAATCTATTAAGCGTAATTAGACTCATGTTTAGTCTTTCTAATTAGTATCCAAACACCCGATGTGACATCTATTAAACTTTAGTCCCTGGATCCAAACATCCTATTAATCGATCCTTCAATCATCATATGCATGCATATGCTAATGCCGGCCGGGCGGGGGACCTCCCCAATTCCAGTCGGGGTTCTCACATTGCAGTTTTGATTGCTGGGCAACCCAATTATGGCTCGGTTCCTTGGCTGTGTTCGGCTGGCTGGTTGGCTGATTGCCGGCTAGCCAGCCACCTCACAAAATTACTATTCATATCCTGCCAGAACAGTATTTTTTTCTCACAATAATCAGGCGAAACAGTATTTTTCAGTCCTGCCGAACAGACCCCTTGCTCCTGGCTAGTTGTTACTACTACTATTACAACTTACTTCTCTGACGCGGTAGCAGCGATTTGCAGTGCTGTGATGCAAGTTGTTGTAGCCTACAACTACCGGCAAGTTGCACTGCTGCTCTGTGATCATTCTTTTGGTCTGTTCATCGTACTTTGAACCGTTAAATGTTAAAGGTAACGGATGACGGGATGAGAGGTACTTTTCACATGTGTTCTGCTTTGATCTTATCATTGGTTATGTCTGGCGTATCTTTAATATAATTTTACACGTCAGAATGAGACCTATGGGAGGAGCTGCCTCCTAAACGTAGTGTGTGTTTGGTTTCCTGGTCTATTTCTAGTCTGTCTAGAATCCTAACCTAAGCAGATTTAGCCTGCTATCACTGAGCCAACCTCTAGTTGTTTGGTTGTCTGTGTTATCTAAGTCTGGCTAGCAAATGATGTGTTTGGTTGCCTGGTTTGCTTTGCATAGAGCCACCCATTCTTTGACTTGGTAAGTTTACCCCCTTCTTCTAGTGGGCATCCTCGGAGAGCACGACAGCAGCAGGATGACCTCGCTACCGGCGTTGTGCGCACACTGCCACGCGAGTTCACCGCGAGTTCATCGCATGATGGCGAGATCACGTGAGTTTAGAAACGCAGTTCTTGTAAGCCGTTCTTCACATCAACCAAACATGTACAACAGAAAACAACAGAAATCATCGGACACAAATCAGAAACGCAGGTAAGGTGTGGGAGCTTGCCACTGCCATGGGCATTAGGGGAGGAGGTGCCCCCACACACCCACCACGGGAACGATGGGAAGGAGTGCCATGCGAAGGCCACCCTTGCCGCCGCCACTGGGCATCCCACATCTAGGCTCGGGGTCCAAGGGCCTCATACCTTCGTCGAGCCTCCTTGTCGCCGATAGAAGGAAGCCGCCACCGTGGAAGAACGGGCTGGGGGTTGTCGCCACCAGCTGGGGAGTGGCCGAAAACTGGGCGGTGGTTGGTGAGCTGCCGGACACACGCCTGGTGCTCCATGGATCCACCACCGAAGGTGGGGGTGGGCGTTACGGTGGGGGAGGACAAGGTTGGGTGCAGGTGCGGCGGCAGGGGTGACCGTCATGGTGGGGAAGGGCAAAGCAGGGCACAGGTGCAGTGGGGTATGATGTCAAAGCGGGGGTGACAGAGCGGCGCAGGAGGTGAACCGAACCTTAGCTCGGGCTTGGCCACAGAAAAATGAGGAGCAGCCACGTTCTTTGGTAGTCTGGCTAAGACCCCCTAGTTGGCTTGCTGGGGCTGGCTAGGAGGCTTGTTGAGCCAACGAAATAGGCCTAAGTTTGCTCCAGGAAGCCTGGCTAAGGGATAGCCAGGGAACCAAACAGGCCCATAATGTTTCAAATATATATAGTTTTGTATCACTACAGAAATTATCTTATCAGAGGCTAT